GTTTGAGAACAGCCCGGTCAAAAAGTTAGTGAGATTCTCATCTCAACCAATAAAGCTGGGCATGGTGGTGCAGACCTGTCATCCCAGCTATTCTGGAGGCATAGACAGAAAGATCAAGCTAGAGGCTCCTCTGGGCAAAAAATGTGGGATTATATTCTAAAAATAACTAAATCAAAAAGGGCTGGGGACATGGCTCAAGTGGTACAGTGGCCTAACAAGTGCAAGGCCCTGAGTTCAAACTCTTATACCAACTCCCCCCTCTCCAAAATGCTCATACATCCAAAGACTTCAACAAACACTCCTAGGCAGAAGATCTAAATGGCTAATAAACATGAAAAGGTGCTCAACTGTATTAGTCACTAGGGAAATGCAAATGAAAACCACATTGTGATTATGATACCGCTACACACCCACTAGAAAGGCCAACATGAAAAAAAATAGAAAATACCAATTGTTGGTAAAGATGTAAAGCAACCAGAGCTCTCACACACTGCTGGAGGGACTATAAATTGGTTTAGCACTTTGGAAAATTACTTGGCATAAGGTTACCGAGGCTGAACATACCCATAATCAGACTTGTCTAGCAATTCCACTTTTATAGAAGTATATACCCAACAGAAATGTATACACATACTCCAAAAGATACACACTGGCATGTTCACAGCAGTAGTGGCCATAATAGTTCCAAACTGGAAACAATCCAACTATCCCCAAGGGTGGAGGGGGATAAATCAGTTGAAGAATAGTCATACAGCGGAATACACTATAGCACAAGACTGAACAAACCACAAAACTACAAGTGACAACTTGGATGAGTCATCTCACAAATGTAACATTGAGTGGAAGAAGCCAGAGACAAAAGGATATGTACTGGATGGCTCCACTTAGAATATATACATATATTTGGAATACTGTTGATGGCAGGCAAAACTAATCTACACAGATAGTGAGCCTGTGGAGCTGTGGAGCAAGTGGAAGAGTGTGTACCAAGGACACTGGTGATGTTCTGTCTTGATCTAGATGTTGGTTGCCTGGAGTAAGTTCATGTTGTGAAAATGCGAAGAGCTTTATGCTTTTGGTTTGTGTTTTTAAATTTTTTTTAAAAGAAAACATGTATGTTATCCTTTAATAAAAACTTTATTAAACTTTTTCATTAAAACCCATACCAATTTAGTTCAAAATCTCTGGGATGGGGCTGAGGTCAGGTATCAGGATTGTCTAATATCCCAGAGGACTATAATCTGTATTTGAGAGGGAAAGTACTGGAAAAGCAGGTCCATTCTGAGTTCTCAAGAGATCCTGACAGAAGTCTGAGTGCAGTGAGTGAAGTGGGATACTGGAGTGGAATATGCCATCTTTGCCCATGGGAAACCTTGAGCCCAGGCAGAGGAGGTGTTGCAGCAGCTGTTGTAATGTGTTTCTTCCTTTGCATGTCTGTTGAAAGTGGTTGCATCATTGTATAGTGGTGAGTAATGGGAAGAAGGTGGGTCCCTGCCCACTCTGCCCTAGGGAAGTAGATCACTCAAGTACAGCTGCTGTAGGCCACTTATACACAGGTGGAGGTTGGGCTTCCCCAGGGATACCACTGAGGACAGAGGCACTGCTGAGGCTCTGACTTCATTGGCAGGATAGGGAGGAGTGTCTGTGTTTGTGGGTAACAGCCAGCTCTGGGTTCCAGACCATGCTCACACTCCCTGGCCTGTGTGTCCAGATTAGGAACTTGCAACATCTTGCCAAGGACCTCATCTGGCTCAGCTCACAGTGCAAGGCTGAGAACTTCCCTAACTCTCTATGGGGTTGGGTGATAGCCTCCTTAGCAAAGGCTGACTTCCAGTATATTCTGGCCAAACTACAGGCAAAGGTGTGAGGCAGAACAGAAGATGAGGAGACAGGGAGATTATATTATTTTTAATAAATGTTAAAAGGGCCAGACTTAGAAATAGGAATGAGGAAGTAAAAACTGAAAAGCAAAAGCAGCTAGCACTCCTCCCAACCTCCTTTTAGATGTTAAGTTACAAGAATAAGGAGAATAAGGGGGCTGTCTACATTTGCTGTCCTCTTTGAAACATTAAGATGCTGCAAGGCTCCTTGAATAGGTTGAGTAACAGAAAAATGAAAGACATGTCTTACAAAAGTAAGTCCCAAAACTCACTTATTCTTCCTATGTTTAGGATAGGCCTAGATCACATCTCCATGCTTATGCACCCATCTCAGACACCCAGATCCATTGTCTAATGGTTAGGGACTGCTAGAAGACATGACCCCTTGTATTCCCTCAGCTCAGAAAGTACAGACTATAGATAAGAACCGGCATTTGGGGTCTTTAATTCCATTTCCTGTGTGGGGAGCAGGAAATGTTTATCCATCCTCTGCCCCTACTTTATCCTGTTATACTAACATAAATCCTTGCTAAAACTTCCACCTCATGAGACTCCTTCTTGTGAAATGCTTTTCAGGTGTGGATCTCAAGTACCTGTATTTTGCACAGAAACTGGGAAGCTGAGGGAACCCTCTCATCCCTCACTGGGTAACAGTAAGATAGGAGATAGGCTCACACATGGGTGTTCTGTTCACCTGGGCCCCAGCATGGATCATGAACCTCTTGCTGTGAGTGAAGTTATGCAGAGAGGCTAGAACAAGCTTCCCCAGCCTTGGGGGTCTCCACCACCCACAGTGAGTGGGCTGAGCTACAGGCTGTCTTGGGGTGGTGTCCCTGCATGCCTGCCTTGCACTGTTGCATCTACAGAACAAGAGTGAGCAAGAGTGAGAAGGAAGGCGCTTAGGGCCTCTTTACCAATGCTGGACACTGATGCTTGGGGGCCCTGTCTAGGTTCACTTAGCCAAAGGACTCAGAGTGGCATGGGCTGCAAGAAGGCAAGCGAAACTGACAAACCTCCCTAGAGGTAAACAAAGCATGAACAAGGCCAGAGGGGTGTTAAGTGTCTCCACCAAGGCTGGGAGTTACACCCTACAGGCCTTTTCCTCTACTCAGCAGGGCTGAGGGGCCAGAGGAAGGCTTGGGCCCTGAAGATCTGCAGGGCTGTCCCTTGTTGAGACTCAGCCCCCACATGCCACCTCACCTCCTGTCTGTGAAATACCACAATGACAACCCTCACCAGTCATAGTGACAGTACCCCTTCCTGTTGTCTTCTCTAAGAAGCATTTATGAAATGTTTCTTTTTTGTGCTTCAGGAAATGAGTGGCCAGAAGGAGTTCTTGATTTTGTTTTGTTTTGTTTTGTTTTTCCCTAGAGATATGTGTGCTGAAGGAGTTACGCAAATTAAAAGAAAAATGAAGGTGGACTGGGGCCAGGAAAGCGAGGAGGCAAGGGAACGCAGGGAGCATCCCACAGGAGACTGGTGCAGGCTGGACTCAGAGGTGGGTACGGCACAATAGAGCTGGGCTGTAAGCAGCTCCTCTGGTGTGAGGTGTGATGTGGGCAAGGCCTGGGCTGCCCTGGACTCTTGGCATGCCCTCATGCCAAGGACAGACAAGCACATAACCCTCCCCAGAGCAAAAGCATCAAAGAGAACTGACAGGAACCACGTAGGTGTGGCATGGTCTACCTGAGGGACTCCTCATGTGAGGCCTGGGGGAATCCTACCTGGGCACAGCCTGGCCATCCCCCAAACTTCATCTTTCAGATACAGCAAGAGTATGTTATCTAGGAAAGTACTGAACCCTTTCCCAAAACTTGGTATTTTCCAACCTGCTACATAACTTCTGAAAGTCACCATAAATTCTCTGTCCTAGTTTCCTTTTATTTACTTGCTTATTTTTCCTTCTCAAAATACTCCAGTGTGGGACTGGAGGTGTAGTTCAAGTGGAAGAGCACCTGCTTTGCAAGTGTGAAGGCCTGAGTTCAAACCACAGTCTTATCCCCTCTAAAAACAAAAAACCAAAAAACTCCAGTGTGTCCCAGCACGGTGGCTCATGTCTGTAATCCCAGCTACTCAGGAAGTAGATTAGTGGATTGCAGTCCAATGCTGGCCCAAGGCAAAAAACAAAACAAAACTAAACTAAAACAAAAAGGGCTAGAGGCATGTTTCCATCTTGTTGGCCAGACATTCACACGGGAGCCCTGAGCTACCACTTCAGAGGTCCCACTATCAGACCACGATGCTAGACAAGCTACACATAGTCTCTCTGGTTAACAGACTGAGCACAGATTTCCAGCTTCAGGTCAAGCAACAAACCATCTTGGAAGTGTATTCTTCAGCTCCAGCTGTTCCAACTCTCAGCCACCATTCCAAGGACCTCAGTCATTCAGTTACTGCAGCCTCAGCCCAGCCTAGAGCAAAGACTAGCTGTTCCTTTCCGAGTCCCTGAGCTGCAGCATAATACACTGGTGGTCATCCTATGTAGCTGGGTTTTAGGGTGGTTTGCTACATAGCAGTAGATAACTGGAACAAGGAGTTAGAACGCTTCTCTTAAGAAGCATTATGAAGGTGAGACAGGTGGTGGCCCTATGACAATGGCTTCTGGAAGCTTAATAGGATTCCTGCCTTTTCTGTTCCAGGCATGGACAAAATGCTGGATTTACTGAAGGTAGGTGAGGAGCCAGGCCCACGGCTGGAGCCACAGAGCCGCTCATCAGATGCGCCAAAGCCAGGCTGTCTCAGCAGCTGCAGGAAGCTGTACACACTCATTGTCATCTGAAGCTGGGACAGATGGACCTTTGGCTATCAGACCTCCCACCAGAGGATCCCAGGAGGGGCCAATGGTAAGAGTTGGGAGGGACTCACATGCTTGCTGGGGCTCCAACACTACCTCTGAGATACACCTCCTTGGGCATCAACCCTGCAGCCTGACCTTTCTTTTTTTTCCCCTTCACGCATTGCCTTTCCTATTCCCTCTCCTCCCTGCCTCTGTCTCTACCTTGGTCCTCCAGAGCTCTGTCCAGGGGCTACACAGCTGGCTTTCCTGCCCAGAGGAAATGCATAGCAACTTTTTTTTTTTTAAAGAAAAATCTTTTCAATTGTTACTTACTTAAAAAAAGAAAAGAATACCATCATTATACAAGTAGTATGTATTCCTAGTAGAAAGTAAGAAAATATTGAAAATCATTCATGATTCCACTAACCCCAAAACAACAAAACAAAGCACCATTTCCAGGTTTCTACACAGATAGAAATCCTCTAGGTTCACATCCCATCCAAGAATCCAGCTGCTAAGCACTCATCACAGCAGGACTGTGTTGCAGCTTTTGGAGGTGTTAATCTCACCAAGCCCTCCCAATTTTACAACATGTGCTAGACCCATTTTACAGGTGGGAGACTGAGTCTTAAGGAGATCATGCTCTTGCCCCAGTTCCCAGGTTGGTTAAGAGGTTGGTTGTTTTCAACAATGTAGGCTGAGCCTAAGGCTACTTTCCTTGCATGTTTTATGTTTCTATTTTTCTTTTTCTTTGTTCAAAACCAATATATTCAGCATCTTTCTCAATAAATGCACCTACATCATTCTGCTGCATGACATACCCTCATATAGATGTGTAAATTTTGAATAACCATTTTTTCTATTGGGCTTTTAGATGTTACCTTTACAAACAATGCAGTTATAAATATCTTTGTTCATACATCTTTGCACAACTGTGATTATTTTAGCAGGATAAATTATGTAAATTTGAACTGTTTAGTCCAAGGCTAGGTACAGTTTTAAAAGTTGTCCCTTTTCCAATCACCTCAGTGGTACCTGTCGACCACGTCCATTCCCTTACATCTACTGTTCACTGAACAGTTTTACTTGTTACAATTTGAACTGACATTCAACACAAAGTCAGAGGAATCCTATGAAGGATCCTAATAAATTCCTCTCCATCTAGAAGTAAGCTGTCCTTGCTAAGGAAAAAAGAAAGCCTTGGACATTCTGCCACAGCCTTTTTTGACTTCAGAGGACTATGCAGAAGGATTGGAGAAAGCATTGGAGATCTTTTGGAAGGCAGAGCAGGGAGACCATCCTGTGGACCCCTAGTCAGCAGTTTTTCCAAGAGAAGCACTGCTTTTCTGGGTGTTGTAGCTTGAATGTGTTTTTCCTCCTGTGAAACTCTGCTGAAATCTGATTGCCACTGTGAGATGTTGGGAGGTGGGGCCTTTAAGAGGTGAGCTCCATTTTCTCCTCTTTTCTCTTTCCTGTGTTTGCTCCCTTCCATGTTATGACACAGCACAAAACCCTGAAAGATACAGGAATTTGGATTTTCCAGCCTCCAGAACCATGAGCTTAAATAAACTTCTTTTCATTATAAACTATTCAGTCTCAGGTATTCTGTTGTAGCAAAAGAAAACAGACTAAGGCACTGGGTCTGAAGACCTCACAGCCATGTCTGACAATGCTGAGCTGCTCCCCATTCCCAGAGCTCACACTCTGCCCAGGAAGTCAGCACAAGTCCCGTGGGCTTTTACCTTGTCCAGCTGCCAACACGTTTGGCATCATGGACTTCCTTGAATACTTTTCAAGGCCTTTAAGTTGGGAAGTCCCAAACTAGACGTGGTCTTACTGCTTTCTTACCTTGATGTTGCTTTCCTCCAAGAGGCTACAACCTCTGGCACCTAGAGAAAAAAAGGAAAGTGAATGACTGAGGCACAGCCCTAAAGGTGAGCCTTTGAGCAAAGTGAGCCTGGAGTGATGCAGGCTCATCTATGGAGAGTTCCTCAAAAGCCACTGAGGTATGAGTTGGCTACATGCTGGCCAACACAGACACTCCAGCCTGGCTTCCACTCAGAGGCTTTCTCCACTCAGAGGATTTCTTTTCATGCAGTGTGTTAATGTTCCTAAGCTGGCAGAAACCCCAGTATTCTTTCCATCCTGTCCCAAGGGCTTGTATAAACAGTAGGTGGTACCCTCATTCATCCTTATTGATATAGCCATTCATTATGTACTTACTAAATACTTACTACATGCCAAGGACTATTCTAGGGCTCTGGAGATATAGCAGTGAACAAAATTCTCTGCCCTTATGGAGCTGTGGTCTACTTGGGGGTAAGAACAACTAACAAAATAAATAAAATTTAATAATAGTAGTTAGAGGTGGTAAGTGCTATGAAGCAAAAATACAGCAGGAGTAGAGGGTAAGAAGTGCTGGAAAGGAGTGTCAAAATTCTAAATAGTGTCTCTAGGGAAGGCTAGACATCTGAGAAGGTAAGTTATGAACAAGGACCTAGAAGGAAGTGAGGACATGAATCCTGAGAATTAATGGGGAAGGTTTTCAGAGGGCAGGAACAGCAAGGGCTGAAGATGACAGCCTGCCTGACATATGAAGATCACTGTGGAGGGTGTTGTGGCCAGAGTAGAGTGAAGAGGGGGAGGTGAGAGAGGGGATAGAGAGGTGAGGGTCCAGAGTGTGCAGGGATTTACAGGAAGGTCCTCATATAAACGCAAGCTTTGACTCCACGAGTGAGCCACTAGAGGGTTTTAAAGAGAAGAGACATAATATGACTCATCGTGTATTAACAGGACTGTTCTGGAGGCAGTGTTGAGAATGAACTTGGGAGAAAGGGCAGAAACAATTAGGAAGAGATTGTAGAAATCCCAGGAAGGGACAATGGTAGCTTGAACCAGAGAGGAAGCATGGAGGTTTTGAGATGTGGTCAGATTCAAGAAGGTGGGGCTGACAGGATTTGCTGCTGGATTAGAAGAGAGATAAAGAAGAGTGAAGGAGGACTTCCAGGATTTGGCCATGAGCAGCTATAATTTTCTGAAGTGTAAATGCCTGCAGATGAAGCATATTTTGGGGAATGATAACTCAGTTTTGGACATGCTAAGGGTGAGATGCCTTTCAGATACTCAGCCAGAGAGGCCAATAAGCAGGTGGAAATGTAAGTCTGGAGTTCAGGGGAGAGGCTACAAATGAAGTGAGTGCTCAGCAAGTAACTTTTTCCCCAAGTTGAGACAGGGTCTAACTATGTAGCTCATGCTGGCCTAGAACTCTTGGTCTTCTTGCTTCTGCCTCCTGAGTACAAGGATTACAGGCATGCACCACCACACCTGGCATCATGTAGCTCTTTAACACTACAAGGTAGAATGAGATTCCCAGGAGGGACAGTATCAGTAGGGAAGTTGTCCAAGGACAGAACCCCATTCAATAGCTCAGCAAAGGAGCCAGTAACAAGGACACCAGGAGAAAGGCTTTCAAGGAGGACAGAGCAATCCTCTGTGATACGTTGAGTAATATGAGATAGCTAACAACTGGAGTTAGCATCTTGGAGCCACCTAGATCCTGGTCATGCAGGTGCAGCAGAATGGTTGGGATGAAAACTTGTATACAACATGCTTCAGAAAGAGAAAGTGAGGCTGGAGGCATGGCTCACGTGGTAGAAAACCTGCTTAGCAGGAGTGAGGCCCTGAGTTCAAAAGATGCCTCCCCACAAAAGCAGATGAAACAAAGTGTGGTGGTGCAGGCTGAGGCAGAAGGATCTCAGGTAAGCTCCAGGCCAGCCTGGGCTACACAGTGAAACCCTGTCTCATTTGTCTCATGATAAAGAGAAAGAAGGGCAGGGGGTAGACAGACTGAGAAAGAGCGGGAAGCTGAAGCCTTGAAAGAGATGACTGGCAGGAGGAGGAAGGGAGGAAGGCTGGAAGCAAAGGAACCAGGGATCATAGAGAAATTGGTTCTCCCTTTACTTTCCTCAAATGTAAAATGCAGGGCACAGAGCTGGCTTGTCCACAACACCTGTAAATAAATAAATGTCAACTAATGTTATGATGCTGAGCCAGATCTCCTGGTTGTAAAGCTTCACCCGTTTTGGCCCCATAAACCATGACCTTGCTTCCATTTCCTCACTGCCATGCGTAACTTTAGGACAAATGCCCCCAGGATGGGGCCAAGCGGGTCTCCAGTTCCTTATAAACCAAGATCTGATCGGCACCCTATCCTGGGTGGGAAGTCTGAGTGGGCAAGACAGTCAGGGCTACTACTGTGACCAAACTGCCTTCTGTGGCGGAGACAGATAATCACCAAACACATGTGAGCAGGCAGGTAATTTCAGATGTGAACAAGCACTATGAAGGCAATAAACAGAGTGAGAGACAGAATAAGCATGGAGGAGCCTCCTCTGCTAGGCCTGTGTGGCCAGGGTCCTCTCTGAGTGATGACTTTTCTGATGGGACCTGGACAAGGAGGCCTGGCAAATACTTAAGACAGCCCCTAACCCACTGGTCTCAAGCTTCCTCTTTGGCTTTCTGCACTCTTGGAACAAGACTAAAGCCTGGGGCCATCTAGGTATAGAGCCAAAAGGAAGCATTCTCTTTCTCTCTCTCTCAGGGCTTTTTTTCTCTGAGGGCTTTTTTTTCTCTACGATTATAAAAGACATGTATTTTCACATGCCTTTTGACATGTGATTTAAAATGTTTTATAATCCTACTACTCAGAGATAACTACAATTAACATTGGTATACATCCTTCCAGACATTTTCCTAAGCAATATGTTATTCTTTTAAAAAAAGATCACGTACATTGTGTTTTGTGACCTGAGTTTTGACTAAACCTGTTATAAAGCACTCCTCTCATTAATTTTCTTTTACATGTGATTTTTAATGGTTATTCTGTATTTCATTTCTTGTAGATGTTCACAATATTTTATTTAATCCCAAACTTTGGCCATTTACATTGTTTCCAGTGATTACTACTATGGATAAAAGCTCTAATGAATAATCTTGTATCTTTTTCCCTTAGTACAGAGTGGAAGTTGCAAATCTTGGATTGTCTCCTCAAATGAAAACAAAGTGTCACTGATATCAGTGCCACAGGTCTCATGGCAGCAAGAGACAGTATGAGGCTGAGGCTGAGGCTGAGAGGGGGCAGAAACTGAGCCCCAAACCATGAGAGGCTAATTTAATGCTCTGACATTGTGACTTTGTGGCTTCCTCTCTTGAGGGCCAGAGCAGTAGGAAAACAATAGGCCCCTCCCATAAACCCAGAGAAATCCAAGGGGATTCCCCACTTCCACCAGGAAGCAAGTGTCCCTTTTTGACCCTAGGATAGTGACCACCCCCATCCTCTTGGGGAAAATCCCCTTAGGGAAGCTCCTCCTTCCCTGGGGGAAAATATTCCAGGGGCCAGGTAGTCAATCAACCTGGCTTTGGGTCAGGGCTGCCTGGGAATGCTCAGGAAAACAGAGAGTTCTATAGAAATAGCAGCTCCTTCCTGTCCCCTGGCCCAGGCTTGCTCCACCATCCTCAAATTCCCAAAGGGGCTGCCAGGTACTGTCTGTGCCCTCATGAGTGGAGTGCCTAAGGAGCAGTGAGTTCTGGAGGGTGAGATGAGATAAGCACAAGTTTGCTCTGATACATTCCAGCTCATCTTGGGGAAAGTGACCACCTGTGGAATGCAGGCACCATAAGGGAGAGGCTTTCTTCACAAATTAGCACACAGCAATAGGTGCTCAATAAATCCTATACCAGGTGGATTGCAGGCTGGGTACTGAGCCTCAGGTTGCTCATCTGCAAGATAGGGATGACAATATTCCTCTCACAGGCTGGGTAAAATACCTGATATTTAACAAACACTAGAGTCTGAAGCCCTAGAGGGTGACTTCTACCATGTTCCATACAGCTCTACAGCCTAGACAGGAAGCTTTATAGTTTACTCATATTAGATAGACTTAGTGTGCCTCTACTCCATTTATGACCACACCCAAACATACCCAGTACAGTGTGCCCCATTGTGTGAGGGTGTACTGGACCAAATTCCACCCTCCCCCACCCAGGTTTTGGGGCAATTCAAGGGCAGGAAATGTGCCTCTGAACCACACTATGCAGTAATAAGCAAGGTCATTATACAAATGAGGAAACTGAGGCTTAGAAAGGTTAGGTGCCTTGCCCAAGTCACACAGTAGGGGTAGCACAGCAAGATCTGAGCCTGGTTTTGATTCCTGAGTGGGTGCTCTATTCTATACAATTCTCTTGAAAAAGGGAGCAGGAGTGAGGAGAAAGCAGCCAGTTTACAGATGCCTAAGGGAAAAGACAGCTGGGAATAGATTCTTGGGGAGTCAGTAGGGAACTGCACTCACCTGAACCCCACCCCGTCTTCCCCTGGCTCTTGCTGCATGTAGCACCTGTGATGCCCTCAGGCCTTGGATTTGGCCAGGCTGGCACAGGCTGATGGAAAGAGCAGGGGGGGGGGCGGGGCCAGGCTCCCTATACCAGTGTGCAGCCCTGCCAGCAAGAGGACTTGAAGATCCTCAGCCAGCTCAGAGTGGATGCTGATAGCCCTAGCAGTGGGCATGGTGGCTGTAGGGCACCTGCTCAGGAGTTGGCCTATCTCCAGTTACGAGACAGAGAGGACTCCCTTACCAGACTGCAAGCATTGTGATTTACTCATTTCTGTAAGCCCAGGACCCCATGGTAGCTGGCGTGGTAAGGGCTGAATGAAGGAGAGACCCCAGCCCCTAGCATCAGGAAGTAAGGGGGAAGGGGCAGCTAGACCTAAGCCAGGGATGCGGAGGAAGAGAATAACCAAAAATGGCTTCAGTCTCCTTATAACACTGATGCTGCATATTTAAAATAATAACTTGCTTCAATCTTTTTTTTTTTTTTTTCCTTTCTTTTCGTC